CACATCCACACTGAGCAGTCCCCCGTCTGCCGCTGATGATCGACAGAAACAGGGGCACCTCTGCCTGGTCTCTGATTTAACCGAAAAGGCTTTTTTTTTTTTTTTTTTTTTTAATTTATTTGACAGATAGAGTTAGTGAGAGAGAGAGAGACAGAGAGAAAGGTCTTCCTTCCATTGGTTCACCCCCTAAATGGCCGCCACGGCTGGCGCTGCGCCAATCTGAAGCCAAGAGCCAGGTGCTTCCTCCTGGTCTCCTATGCGGGTGCAGGGCCCAGGCACTTGGGCCATCCTCCCCTGCCTTCCCGGGCCACAGCAGAGAGCTGGCCTGGAAGAGGAACAGCTGGGACCAGAACCCGGTGCCCATATGGGGTGCCGGCACCGCATGTGGAGGATTAACCAAGTGAGCCACGGCACGGGCACCCTGAAAAAGCTTTTTATTTCACCATTTAGTCTGATATTTGCTGCTGACTTTTGGTAAACATTCCTCTTAATATTTAAGTTGTTTCTTTCCTAACAGATTTACATATGGAATGGCTGAATTATACTAAGTGATACTTCAGCAACCTACTGAGAATCTGGGTAATTTCTGTCAATGTGAATTGTGCAGATTTGTGATCATGACTACATATTTCTGATATAAATCTATCCTTATATTTATTCCTAGAAGTCTTACCTGGTTTTTTTCCCCCACATTGCTGCATGTAATGTGTTAGTATGTCTATATTTATTAACAAGACTCATCTACAATTTTTTATATCACCTTTTTAAAAAACATGTATTTATCAATTTGAAAGGCAGAGTGACAGAGAGGGAGAGACAAAATCTTCCATCTGCTGGTTCACTCCCCAAATGGCCCAACAGCCAGGGCTGGACCAGGTAGAAGCCAGGAGCCAGATGTTCCATCCTGGTCTCCCACGTGGGTGCAGGGCCCCAAGCACTTGGGCCATCTTCCACTGTCTTCCCAGGTGCATTAGCAGGGAGCCGGATCGGAAGTACAGCAGCTGGGACTCATCCAGCGCTCCAGTAAGGGGTGCTGGCCTCCCAGAGGGCAGCTTAACACGCTGCACAGTACTGGCCCCATCTCACACACGATCTTTTGCTACGTTTTTAGAAGTTACAATGAAATTATACACTGGATGCTGTATTTTTTTTTAGAGTTATTATGGACTCACAAAATCTTCTGTCTAGAACAGCTGAGACACACTGGCCCATCTGCCTTCACCTGTGGCCAGGCAGCAGCCAGCCCAAGCCCCTGTGGCCTGCTGCTGTTCTAACAAGGCCTCTTCAGCCCCCTTTCCCGACCTGCTTCCTGCCTGACTCAAGCCTGCCACCTCTTCTCAGGCCCCTTCCTCCTTTCTAGGGAAGAAAACCTCACAGGAGACAGCAAGGTCAACAGAAGCCAATCTCTGCCTTCAACAGTTCTCCATGGAGCAGCACGGCCACCAGCTAGGAACTCCTAGAGGACGTCTTGTCGGAAGCACCCTCTTTGGCCAAGCCATCCTAAACCTTACCACAAAGCTGACCCAGCACCCAGCACCCAGCACGCGTGTGTGCACACACACAGCTCTGCGTGTGCCGTCGCACTGCCTGCAGGACCAACTCCCAAGTCCTGACCTGGCACTCGGGCCCCTGTCCACCTTCTGCTCCCTCAGCTGCCCTTCCCCCAGCCACTGCTTTGTGCACTAACATGCTGCCGCCTCCTGAAAACCCGCCTTCCAGATCCCCCCACACATGGGGTTCCTGCCCAGGTCCGAATCGCTCAGCTCAGCAGCTGAGGCTGCCACGCCGCTCCCTGCTCGGAGCCTCCGGACTCTGCTCTGGACGCGCATTCACACCCTCACCTGCCTGTGGCTCCAGACAAGGCCATCCTGAGGCCCAGACGAGCACCGACAGCGCGCTCTGCAAACGCCTGGCCTGGCGCAGCGGCCATCCTGCTCAGCTGCAGCCGCCAGCGTTCTCAGCCAGACCCGCCTGTTCTGCTTTGATGTTAAATCGTTTCTGTCTCTCACTTTATCTACCATGAACTCGGCAGACCGCAGAAGTCCAACGAATACTGCGGCATCACTGAATTTTACATCATCTTCAACTTCGTGGCAACACTGATCTAAAAGAGCAAGAAAAACTAAAACTCCAAAAGTAAGGCAGGGCCCAGCCTCCCCCTTCATCATCACCTCTCCACTTCTCCTTCTCCTGGCCACCGCCAGCCCCACACTCCGCTCAGAGCTCCAGGATTCCAGCGACTCCTTTCTTTCTCTTTTCTTTTTAAAGATGTATTTATGTATTTGAAAGGCAGAGAGGCAGAGGCAGAGGCAGAGGCAGAGAGAGAGAGAGAGAGAGAGAGAGAGGTCTTCCATCTGCTGGTTCACTCCCCAGATGGCCACAATGGCGCCAATCCAGAGCCAGGAGCTTCTCCGGGTCTCCCACGTAGGTGCAGGGGCCCAAGGACTTTGGCCGCCTTATGGCTGCTTTCCCAGGCCATGGCAGAGAGCTGGATCGGAGTGGAGCAGATGAGACTCGAACTGGGGCTCGTACGCGATGCTGGCACTGCAGGCGGCAGCTACACCACAGCGCCAGCCCCTCGACTCCTCACTTTCATCTCAAGAATTCAGCAGCATCCTTGCCACTGCACCAGAAGCACAGGGGTGGGGCCAGGCCTGCCCCTCCTCCCTCCCCTCCCCCGAGCCTGATGCCACAGCTGCTCAAAGGGAGGAGCTCAGGTTCTCAGCAAATGACGCCAGAGGGTACTTCTGTGTTCATCTAATAAGACCACGTGCCAGGCATGGTCTGTGGCTCTGATTTACAAACCACGGAAGGCAGTAGAGCGAAACACTCACTGCCATATGCACACTTCCCCCTTAAAGACAGTCAGCACCAGAAGGAAATGCACACAGCACCAGGGCGACCTCACACACGCACAGGTGAGTGAAAGCCCTGACCACGGCTCTCCATCTGAAAGGAGCTCAGGCTGGACCTGTGGCCAAGTGGGCAGCAACACACTTACCCAGCATCCCCAGCATGGACTCCAACCACACCTGATGCAGGGGGCGACTCGCCCGCTCCAGAACACCTGGCTACCGACCTCCAGAGAGCTGGGACATTTGGTGACCCTGACGAGGCTCTCTGGCGCACACTCACCATCCAGGTCCTCCTCCAGGCCACGCACATCTGCGAGGGCCACCACGAGGACGTGCTGCCCACCCATCACCGGGACCTGACTCGACTAGCGGCTCAGGAGGACTCACAGGCAGGGGACAGCGAGTCCCGGGCCGCAGGCCAGCTCGGCGCAGAGTGGCGTGGAACAGGAGCGAGCTGCCAGCTCCTGTTTACATGGGCTTCAGCGAACACCACGCACGCCAATTCAGGGTCACGGGAGGCCAGGGCCCCACACTGAGGCCCCAGGTAAGTGGTCCATGGAAACCAGATTTAACTGGGTGACTCCCTGTATCAGTTCCCTAGAACTCCCTGGAGTCAGCCAGTACGCATCTGAAATGCCAACTTAAAAACGTGTTACATGATAAGCTACCACCACCAACAAACTATGCCCCAGGGGAAACTTTATATAAAACACCTTAGAACACAGTGAAGCAGCTGTCAGTGGTTTCATAGATTTTTCTTCATTCCGAGTTTCTGCACCTGATCTATCATCATCATTTCAGGATTCCAAATTTCGAACACACATGAAAATACTATTTACTCTGATATCTGTTAATTTTTGTGCTACATGGGCCTCGAACACAGCTTCCAACTATCTTCCACAACTTCATGTCAACCAAAATTAAAAAAAAATTCCCAACACTCAGCTCTCTTTTACTAAAGATTAACGAGACAAATTATGGCTACACTGAAGTACAAGCAGCATTTCTTCACTATGAAATGGACGGATTTTGGTGCCCTCAAGTTTCACGTAGGGATTCCGGTTCCCTGGGCAGCAAGGAGCCCTTAACCTGTGGGGCCTATTAAAAACACGTGACCTGAGCGATTCACTTGGCACTGCAAGTCAAGCAGGATACAGAGGCACAAGGGAAGTCAGTACTCTTCCTTCCCCCGACCCGAGGGAACGCTCGGAGACCCGTGGTACTTTTCCACTCACACACCTGCAGCCGCAGCCATGGGCTTCCTTCCTTCCAGCAAGTGGGGCCGCGCTGCACCTATGTTACTCTGCACACACGCTCTCTGACGGACACGGCGCTTCCAGACACCCCGTACCTCAGGACACACAGGCGTCCCTTTTCTGATCTCTGGATTAGTAAGCACTAAATGATTTACTTAAAGGCAAACACGGAAACACTGCCTACTTCCCTGAGTTCTAATAACCTTAAACAGACTTTAAACATAGACCAGAGCTCAAGAGCAGAGACCTCCTTCCGGGGTCACAGGACAGAACCACCCTCTGAGGCGGGACTCGAAGCCCTCCGTTGTTTTCCTAAGAAAATCCCCACCAGTGATCGGAACAAAGCCTGACAGATGTGTGAGGTGGACCCTGTGCTGCTCACACGCAGCCCGGGCGCCAGCCCCAGGCGCAGGCCTCCTCAGCCCGGACCCCAGGACGCCTCCTGCTCCGCAGCAGGTTCCTCAAGCCAACCCTCGAGCTGGCCAGAAACCAATGCCGTGACCTGCTAAGACGCTGCTGGCCTACGGGATCCTCCCCCTCCCTCGAGACCGTGACCTGGGACCCCGGAGAAGCCCAGCGGACGGCAGCAGACGCTGAGGGCTGACACGGCAAGGATGCCACGAATGAGATGCCAGGAGGCAGCCTGGGCCTGTTTACCCAGAACTCAGGGGCAGGTTCAAGTTTTTGCATTCTGCATTCTCTGAAATTTTGGAAATAATTTCTAGAGCTTAGGCTGTTCTGGTGTGAGTCTAAAGGGAGCCTAACGCAGCCTGGGTGCGGCCCCGCCTGTGGAAGCCAAGCACAGCCCCTCCTCCTCCAGCTTCCCATCAAGCCTCTGGGCTGCGGCGGCGGCAGCGATGCAGGAGCGCGCCGGGGCGGCCAGACCTACCTGTGCAGGAAGTGCAGCTTGTGCATGGCCGCCAGCCCCGCGGCAATCTCGCACGCCATCCTCTGCAGCAGCATGGTCTGCGTGTCCCCCCGCAGGTGCTCCTGCTCGCTGCGCAGGTAGGCCTTCAGGTCGCCCTGAAAGAGATTCTGGCGTCAGAAGTGGACGAGCTGAACACCCGGGCACCTGCACACAGGGGCTGTCGACGGGAACTGAGCAGTCAGGCAGGCTTGCTCAGCAGAGAACCTGGGGCTGAAGACGGTCCAAATCACAGGCAGCAACCCAGGCTCGTACTACAGCCTTCAGGGCCATTCTAACCAGGGCAAACACTTAGGTGATCATCACCAGGCAAGCACATGGGAGGAAAATGTGGCAAAGGCGCATAACTCACACTGACATGTGCATCTCACGTGCAGTGCATTCGTGCTGAGAGTGCCATGCTGAGACTTCCCAGCAGCCCCTGCACCTGCTGGTGACACCTGCATCAGGCCTCTCAACCTCCCCGGGCCCCAGGGGGCTCAGAGCCCACTGCCACAGGCAGCTCCTCGTTAACAAGCATATTCTAAGGAGAGCAGCCTGGGCATGAGAAGCCACAGACCCGCAGGCAGACCTCCAAGCTGGGCTCCCCGTTACCTCCTGTTGTCGGCTGGTGAAATGCAGACAGCAAGCCAAGGGCCGTCAGGGCTCCTTAACTCTGGGCCCAGCAAAGGACATACCCAGGAAGGGTATTTTCTTGGATCTGTTACTGCGGACAGCAAGTCCACCAGATTCCTCCCAAAGGAAGCTTTAAAGCACAGCATTGGGGGCTGACACTGTGGTGTAGTGGGCAAGAATGCCACCTGCGATCCCAGCATCCCATATGGGCACCAGTTTGAGTTCTGCCTGCTCCACTTCCAATCCAGCTCCCTGCTAACGCACCTGGGAAAGCAGCAGAGGGTGGCCCAGGTGCATGGGCCCCTGCACCCACATGGGAGACCTGGAGGAGTCTCCTGGCTCCTGGCTTCAGCCTGGCCCAGCCCCGCCACTTTGGCCATTTGAAGAGTGAGCTAGTGAACAGAAGATCTCTCTCTCTCCTGATCTCTGAGCCTGCCTTTCAAATAAATGAATCTTAAACAACAACAACACGGCATTGCTTTACATTTGACCACGTCAACACTAAGCGCCTCCTAACATGCCCTCTGCGTCCACGCCCAGCGACTCCCATTGCCATGGGGGTTCAGAGCGCCAGGCCCAGCCCTGCACCGGGGGCTTTCCCACATGTGCCGTGCTTCTCCCAAGCTGAGCTGCTTTCTACAGGGAAGACCGAGCCGGGGGAAGTGAAGCTAATCAGTGGCCGTGCCTCATTCCCAGTTCACCACAAAGTCAAGTGCAGGGTGGGAAGTGTGGTGCAGTGGGGGTGAAGTGGAGCCCGCCGCTCCACTTCCCTTCCAGCTCCCTGATGCCATCCCAGTGAAAGCTGTAGGAGATGACCCAAGCCCCCGGGTCCTGGTCACCCACACAGGAGTCGCAGGTAAGAGTTCCTGGCTCCTGACTCTGGCCTGACCCTAATCTGGCTGTTGTGGACATTTGCGGAGTGAACCTCTCTCTGTTGCTCTGCTTTTCAAATAAACATTAAAAAAAAAAAAAAAAAAGGAAATCAACACAAACATTGTAACTGCTGGTTTTTATATGAGGCAAGTTATAACACTGATTCACTCTACTCAGAACAGACTCATCCTCAGCGGGCAGCCATGAGAAGACATGATTATTACTGGGGCCACCGTGGAAAGGGGAAACCCCACCGGGAAGAACAATGGAGCAGCATTCAGCTTTCCTTCACTAGGCTTTGGAGACGTCTCAGCTCCTCCCCCAAACCCTGCGAGAGAACCCGCAGGGACAAGTCTGGACGCTAGAGGGCAGCAAAGGCCACACCAAGGGGCCAAGGCAGAAGCAGAACCCGACAAGGGTTTGTTTGAGTGAGTGAAGACTTGCAAACACACTCAAAAATTCTAACAGAAAAGCCAGGGGCGCTGAGGGCACTGGATTAAAATACAGCCACAGCCACCGCACTGAGGGGGAGGGCGCCGCTTCCAGCAGGAGCCGGCCTGGGGCTCAGGCTGTGGTCACAGCTGCTCCTCACTCCAGCTGTGGACCTGGATCTCCTCCGTTACCAAGGGCTGTCCGCCCCGGCGCCCTGCTGGGCTCCTCAAACACCTCCCCGACAGACCCAGCCCCGCCCCTCGGGGACTCCCCGTGTCCCCCCTTTGGGCATCAAGTCCCCTCCGGCTGGTTCCACCTCTCAGGCGTGCCCAGCACACTCAGCACCTCCACACCAGGTCGCTGTTCCTCCCTCCTGGAAACCCTCCTTCTTTCCCCTCACCCACCCCCACCCCCGATCTGGAAGTGCTGGGGTGGGGTGGGGGGACATGGGCTGGGCCCTTGGTCCTCCCTGTCCTGGGGTTGGGGGAGGTGGTGGTTCCCACCCCTGGGCAGTCACAGACCCCTCTGGCCCAGCCCCTCCTCCCTCCTCATTTGGCCTTCCTCCCTGTATGTTATGTCCAGGAGACATCGCAAACCTAAGGCTGCTCACACAAAACCCACCCATCCACCTGGTCTCATTGCCATGTTCCCAGAGGCTCAGACCAACAGCGAAGCCGGCATCCCCGGGGCCTCACCACCAACCCCGCACCTGGTCCTGATGGGACTCAGAGTCAGAGCACTTCACGTCAACCACTCATCACTGCCCCCAGCACCTGTGCCTGCCACCTGAGCAGCCAGTCAGTCTGTTTCAAAATCTCTTTAAAATTTATTTGGGGGGGGGGGGAGCTTCCATCTGCTGGTTCACTCCCCCAAATCTCTACAACAGCAGAGGCTGCGCCAGGCCAAAATCAGTTCAGTCCAGGTCTCACATGTAGGTGGGTGGCAGAGATCCGACGACTCGAGCCATCATCTGCTGCCGCCCAGGGTGCACTTCAGCAGGAAGCTGGATCAGAAGGAGGGTGATTCAATCTCTGGCACTCAGACACGGAGGCAGGCGGCCGGGGCCGGGGATCAGCCTGCACACACAACACCTGCCCCACAGTCCATCTTCTGACACGCAGGTCAGGAGGCACCTGGTTTCTCCCTGGCGCTCTGCGTGAGGGGCGGAGGGCAGGGGCTCTGAACTCTACCCTTCTGTGTCCCTACAACCCAGACCAGAGCCCGGCACACAGCATGCTCCGCCAACATCTCCTCAATGCGTGGGAGAGGAAAGAAAACACATTTGAGCATTCTAAACACCTCCCCCAAATCAAAGTGGGGAGCAACCACTTTCCCAAGGGAAGCCCCACCCTGGCCTTGCAATTAACCACCTAATAGCAAGGGACTTGGGGGTAAATCTGTAATTTCAAATGCTTATTGGGCTTTAAATAAATTTTACTGCTGCATTACTCTATTAAAGTAGCCAAAGACATTAATGTGGGAAAGTAGTATTTTATTCTTTAAGTAACAAAAATCTAACTGGTGCAATCGGTTCTACTTCAGGAGACGGGAGTCTGAACTACTCTCAAATTCACTTGCGGTTACCTGGTTCTCGGAACACATCTCTCCGGAGACAGACAACAGGTCAGTTCTCCCCCCCACCCCAAAGATTTATTTATTTACTTGAAATCAGAGTTACACAGAGAGAGAAGGAGAGACAGAGAGAGGTCTTCCATCCGCTGGTTCACTCCCCAGTTGGCTGCAATGGCCGGAGCTAAGGCGATCCGAAGCCAGGAGCCAGGAGCCAGGAGCTTCTTCTGGGTCTCCCATGCAGGTGCAGGGGCCCAAGGACTTGGGCCATCTTCTACTGCTTTCCCAGGCCACAGCAGAGAGCTGCATCGGAAGTGGAACAGCTGGGACTCGAACCAGTGCCCATATAGGATGCCTGCACTGCAGGTGGCGGCTTCACCTGCTACTCCACAGTGCTAGCCCCGCCAGTTCTACCAACAGACACAACACAAGCCAGAGATGTCGCCTAAGCTTTTCTGGGCAGGCTAGTGCAGTCATTAAGATGCCACCTGGGAGGCCAACGCTGTGACATCCAGAGAAAGCCGCCGCCTGCAATGCTGGCATCCCATATGGGTGCTGGGTTCAGACCCGACTACTTCACTTCCGATCCAGTGCCCGGGAAAAGCAGCAGAAGACGGCCCAAGTGTTTGGGCCCCTGAACCCACGTGGGAGACCTGCAGGGAGCTCCTGGCTCCTGGCTCCTGGCTTCATCCTGGCCCAGTCCCAGCTATTGCGGTCATCTGGGAAGTGACCAGCAGGTCGAAGAGCCCTTTGTCTCTCCCTCCTGTAACTCTTTTGAGTAAATAAATAAATCTTTAAAAAAAGAGCATGTAAAAAATTTTAAAACAAAAAAAGGATGCCACTTGGGACCCCTGCAGCCCATAATGAGAGTAACTCAGTTTGAGTCCCAGTTCCACTTCTGATCCAATTCTGCCAACACGCACGCTTGGAGCAGCAGTGAGGGCTCAAGGAATCGAGTCCCCGCTCATCAAGTCAGTGACTCGCACTGAGTTCTGGGTTCCTGGCTTCGGTCTGCGCCGGCCCGGTCCCAGCTGCCGTGGGCTTTTAAGGGAGTGAAGCAGCAGAGGGAAGATCTGTCTCTCTCTTTCAAACAAAATGAAAATAAATTTTAAAAACTTTAAAAAGCCTTTGACTTCAGAAAGAGGTGAGATTACTTAATATCCTTTTAAAAATTCCTAGCAGCAATTCAAAATCATAAAAAAAGAAAAACAGGTAAATGTGACTTCAGTAATCTGCACTAGGGCCCTGATACACCCGATATAGTTACCATTTCAGTGTGCAATCAACAGTAAAGAAACCACTGGCACTGCGTGTTTCCTTGGTACTCAGCCCACAGCGCCCCTCCCCCCCACCTCCCCACGCTGAGCACTCACCCCAGCCACGCTCCCAGGGCTCAGCAGCCCCCACGGCCGAGCCACGACGCTTCCAGCAGCGATGGCCTTCGCCACGGGGCAGGCAGCAGGGAGGTCAGGAAGGGCCCCAGCGGTCAGGGCTGCCCGTCAGCCAAGAGCCAAGGCCACACCAGCCCCAGCAGCAGCCAGGCCCCCAGGGGCCAGGGCCAGGGCTCACGCCCTCCCCGCCCTGAGGGTGCTGGCATCACCGTCCAGCC